AGTGTCTGTGAACTGCTGTATCGAAAATGAATTTGGTCTGTAAATTTTCACCCAAATCACAATTAAAAAAAAAAAAAAAAACCCACACCACTTGTTTTGTAAAACTTTTCTTGTTGCCTTTATTTCTTGGCTTCCAGAAGGCACATCACCTTGTCTTGGTCCTCTTCTCCTGGGTCACTACTTCTCAGTCTCTTGCCTGTTGTTGTTATGTGCCATCGAGTCGGCCCCGACTCATAGCGACCCCTCCTTGGTTTTCTGAGGCAGTATCACTACGGAAGTAGATTGCCCAACCTTCCTTCCGAGGAGTGGCTGGTGGGTTTGAACTGCCAACCTTCTGTTTAGCAGTCAAGTGCCTTAGGCGCTATGCTACCAGAGCTCCTTGCCTGGCTTCTCTTTATCTTCCTGCCCTCTACTTCTACCTTCACCCTCCAAATGAGCTCCCTAAGATGTGTGACTTGTTTTGTTGGTAGGTGCCATCAAGTCGGCTCCAACTCACACTGGCAAAAGAACAAAACACTGCCCAGTCCTTCACCATCCTCACAATATTTGCTATGCTCGAGCCCATCATCGCAACCATTGTGTCAATCCATTTCATGGAGGATCTTCCCTTTGTTCACTAACCCTCTACTTCATCAAGCATAATATCCTTCTCCAGGGATCAGTCCCTTCTGACAACATGACCAAAGTACATGAGATGAAGTCTGGCCATGCTCGCTTCTAAGGAGCATTCTGGCTATACTTCTTCCATGACAGATTTGTTTGGTCTTCATCAATATCACAGTTCAAAGGCATCAATTTCTCTTCGATTTCCCTTACTTATTGTCTAGCTTTCACATACATATGAGACTATTGAAAATACTACTTGAGTCAGGGGCACCTTAGTCTTCAAAGTGACATCTTTGTTCTTTGACACTTTAAAAAGTTCTTTTGCAGCAGATTTGCCCAGTGCAATACGTTGTCAGTTTTCTTGACCACTGCTTTCCATGGGTGTTGATTGTGTATGTAAGTAAAATGAAATGTTTAACAACTTCAATCTTTTCTCCATTTATCATAATGTTGCTTACTGGTCCACTTGTGAGGATTTTTGTTTTCTTTATGTTGAGGAGTAATCCAAACAAAAAGCTGTAGTCTTTGATCGTCATCTGTAAGTGCTTCAAGTCCTCTTCATTTTCAGCAAGCAAGTTTGTGTCATCTACTTATCACTGGTTGTTAATGGGTCTTCCTCTAATCTTGATGCTGTTTTCTTCTTCACATAGTCCAGCTTCTTGAATTATTTGCTCAGGAATGCCTTTGAACAACAAGGCTTCTTTTCAATCTTATTTCCAAATGAACAGCTCAAACATCATTTATTTTGGGGGGACCAGGTTTGCTGGTCTGATAGAGCTTGGTGGAACCACTGAGACTATGGCCCCTAGCTGCCCTTCAGGTCTGGAATTGAACCCACACCTGTGGCTTCCAGCCAAACAAAACATGGGCATATGAGCTGAACATTTATGTGAGGTAAATATACTCCTTGGAGAGAACAATCATGGGAGAAAGAAGGGCTGTTTATGCACAGGGAGACAGCTCAGGTGGCAGGGGTGCAAGCATACAGATTGAATAAGTATGGTGAAAGGATACAACCCTGACACCTTTCCTGATTTTAAGCCATGCAGTGTCTCCTTGTTCTGTTCAAACAACTGCCTCTTGGTCTAGGTACAGGTTCCTCATGAGCACAAGGAAGTGTTCTGGAATTCTCATTCTTCACAATGTTATCCGCAATTTGTTATGATTCACACAGTTGAATGTTTTTGCATAGTCAATAAAACACAGGTAAACATCTTTCCAATTTTCTTTTGCTTCAGCCGAGATCCATCTGACATTAGCCATGATATCCTTTTCTGCATTCTTTTGAATCCAGCTTGAATTTCTGGTAGTTCCCTGCCAATGTACCACTACAATTGTTTTTGAATTATCCTCAGCCAAAGTTTACTTGTGTATGATATTAATCAATAATTTTCACATTCTGTTGGGTCACCGTTCTTTGAAACGGGCCTTTCAGTACTTTTAAATACCTTCTGTTAGCTGATGGCTCTCACAAGTTTATCACCAGCCCCAATCCTTCCCTCAACCCCAGCCTCCCACATCTTATTCAACCAAAACCAAACCCACTGCCTTTGAGTTGATTACTACTCATAGTGACCATATAGGACAGAGTAGAACTACCCCATAGGGTTTCCAAGGCTGTAAATCTTTATGAAAGCAGACTGTCTCATTTTTCTCCCATAAAGCAGCTGGTGAGTTTTAACTGCCAACCTCTTGGTTAGCACTGAATGCTTTTAAGCACTGTGCCACCAGAGCTCCTTATATCTGATTACGTTCTTACAATCTCCATTTAAATCTCCAATAGGCATCTCAAACAGCTTGCCCTAAACTGACCCTTACTTTCTCCACCCCAAAGCCCTGCTGCCCCTACAGTCTTTCTCATATCAATAAATGGCAAATCTTTTTAATATTGACCAAGCTAAAAATCTTGGTATTATCCTTGACTCCTTTCTTCTTTCATGAGCATCACCAATCCCCTAGCAAATAGCCAGAATCTGATCACTGCTTACTACCTCCACTGCTACTACCTTGGTTCAATACACCTTCATCTCTCTACTGTGTGACCTTGGGCAAGTCCTCACTGCTTCAGTCCTCTGTTATGAGGATTAAAAGAGTTAATATTTGTTTGTGTTTAACTGTCCAGCACATAGGAAGCACCATAGAAATGTTTTTCAAATAAATAAAAATGCCTTGATTGTAGAAATAGCTTTCGAATGACCTTATTCCCCATGCAATCTGTTCAAAACACCACAGCCTATTGATCCTTTTAATGCTGACTTCAGCTCCCAACCACTCTCACCTTCTTCTGTTGAGGCCAGCCACACTGGCCTCCTTGCTATTCCTTGAACAGACCAGACATGTTTCCCCTCCACACCTTTGCCCTTGTTGTTCTAAGTGCTTCTGATATCTACATGGCATGTTCCTCCCTCCCTCCAGTTCCCTGATCAAATGTCATGTATCATTTATGCCTCCCTTGACTGTCCTCCAGGAAGCTCTGGTGGTATAAGTGGATAAGGCATTTAGCTGCTAACCAGAAGGTCCATGGTTTGAGCCTGCCAGCTGTACTGCAGAAGATGAACTGGTCTGCTTCTGTAAAGATTTACAGCCTTAGAAATCCAATGCAGGCCGCTATGAGTCTGAATGGACTCGATGGCAGTGGGTTTGGTCTGGTTTTGGTTTAATTGCCCTCCAAAACCCAGACCCACTTTGTTAACCTGCCTTCTAATGCCCTTTCTCTGATTTTTTCTGCACATACTATATTTACTTGTTGGGAGCTCTGGTAGCATAGTGGCTAAGGCACTTGACTGCTAACCAGAAGGCTGGCGGTTCAAACCCACCAGCCACTCCTCAGAAGGAAGGTTGGGCAATCCTACTTCCGTAGTGATACTGCCTCGGAAACCCAAGGAGGGGTCGCTATGAGTCGGGGCCGACTCGACGGCAAATAACCACAACAACAACAACATATTTACTTGTTAGCTGATGGTCTCTCTCCTCTGTAACATTTAAGATCCAAGACAAAATGGGATGTTTTTTCCACTGCTGTATCCTCACATTGGCACATGCTCAAGCTCCAAGCTCACAGCTATTGAGTTGATTCTGACTCATAGTGACCCCCATTGGGTTCCCAAGGCAGTAAATCTTTATGGAAGTAGATTGCCCCATCTTCCTTCTGCAGAACAGCTGGTGGGTTTGAACTGCCAACCTTGTGGTTAGCAGTCAAATACCGTAGGCACTATGCCACCAGAGCTCTGAAATTGGCACGTAATAGGTGCTTAATAAATATTTATTGAATGAAGGAATTCTCAAGTGCCATTCTGTTCTCTGAGTTGGTCTGTAACATTCTTGTGGGATTTACCTCTATGGCTTTTTATGCCAGTGGCTACCTATGTAAACTTTTAATCAACTGTGAACTCACTGAGGACAGAGGTCTAAGAAAGGGTTTGGTTTGTGGTAATAATTCCTGTAATCTGTGCAACATTTTACAATCCTCTAACATGTGACCTGACAGATTTTCAACAAAGAGAGCCAGCAAGCCTAGGAGAGCAGGTATTATTAGCAGGACAAACATTCCTGCTCTCCTGCCTTCTAGACCAAGCTCAACAAATATTTATCGAATGAGATTAAAAAAAAAAAAAAAAAAAGAAATCTTGGGTCACTCTGTGGACCGAGGTATCCCTATAGAGCAATAGGCCGGTCCTCTGTGGCACATCCAAAGATACAACACCTAACATTTATAGAGCCCAGTTTTCTCTTCACCCGTTTCGTCCTCAACGCATTATATCTTATTCATCTGTTAGTTATCTTTTGGTACCTAAAAGAGGGCCTAGTATCTATTAAGTGCTCAGTAAATGATGCGGCTCCAAGCTCTTCAGTTATTGGGCTTAGGTGCAATGACTTGCTCTAGGTCCCATACACAGCAATTCACCGCTGATAATACATTCTGGGTTCTGTCTGGAGTCCAAACTCATAACCACTGCTCCTCCCAACACATATCTCTCGAGACATATCTCGGGGTTGGGCTGGCCCCCAAATCGGCTCCAGTTCCGGGTGCATTTCAGGCGTAAGCGTGCGCAAGGGGTGGGTCGGGGAGGGACTGCCCCTTCCCAAGCCCAGTGTCTTCCGCATCCTCGCCCAGTAAGCCCAAAGGTAAAGCCCCTCTGCAGCTACCCGCTTCTGCAGGCACAGAGCCAGCAGACTTGTACCACAGGTACTGGAAGCCTCTCCGGGTCGCGGCGCCGGCCCCGGCCCCGGCCCCAGTCCCGGCCCCAGCCCCCACCCCCGCCTACTCTGCAAGCTTGGCCACCTCGCCCCGCCTCGCCCGCGCAGGCCCGCCTCTCACTTCCTCATTCGTCGCTCCGCCCCCCATGCCGAGCTCCATACTTGGCGATCGCCGCGGCCCTGAGCGCTCATTGGTCGAGACCTGGCTGCGTGGGGGCGGGCCCGGCCAGGGCCGGGCGGGGAAAGAAGGTGGCGGCGGCCCGGCGCGGGGGGAGGGGGGCGCTGACCCGGATGTTCACTCCTGGGCACCCGGGGAAGTGGAAGCGCTGGGACCTGCTGCGGGGGGGAAAGCCACAGACGCCGGGACCGGGACCGCCGCTGCCGCCGCCACCATGGTAAAGGCCCAACGTCATCTCCTCCAGCCCCGGGGGCCCCAGTGGGGCTCGTGTTCCCCTCCCCCCGCCGACCCCCGGCCCGTGAAGGGTGGGTTCCCGGGGGTGGGGGAGGGGCGGGTCCCGGGTCCTAGGTGGACACCATCCTTCTCTGCTCTGTAAGGAGCTGCACGTCTGGGCGTTTTAAAGGGTAGTCAGTGATCCTGTCTCCCGCTCCCAGCTGTCTCTCTTGGCTCAAGCTGGAGCCCCACTTTCCCCCTCTGGGTTCAGGCTGGTCTACCCATAGCCTAAGCTAGATCCTTCTGTGGTCCAGGCGTGGTCCTCCTTTCCCTTCTCCATAGCCCAGGTTAGTTACTCTCCTTTCCTCCTTTAAACGGCCCAGATGAGACCGTCTTTTCTCCTTCCCACGGCCCGACCCAGGCCCCCTGTCCCATGGTCCAGGCTAGGCCGCTGCTTCTCACTGCACTCTGTTCCCCTCTCCATAATCCTGGCCCTCAACTCCGTTACTCCCCACGCCCCTCCAGTGGCCTCAGCTTAGGGGGGCCTCCCTTTTCCTCCATGGCCTCAGCCTGAACCATCTCTCCCCTTCCATGGTCTTAAGTCTGTCCTCCCCTTCTGCGTGGACCCTGCCTGGACTTCACCTCCCGTTTATGCCTCCCTTCCCACTTCCCACCACTCTCAGCTTAGACGAGGCCTGCCTTCCTTCACCCTCCTCACCTTTACCTTGCCACTGTGACTCTGCTCCCCACCCTGGCCCTCAACCCAGGGCAACTCCCTCCCCTATACCTAGATTGAATCTTCTTACCATCCTCTCTGCCTGGGAGCGAGGGTAGCTCTCCAGCCAGGGTAAGGGTGGTCCCAGTGCTGTGCCTTCTTAGGTTGACGTTTGCCCATCTTGGAAGGGCACCTAAGAGTGAGTGAGGGGAGGGCAGCGTGGTGTGCTGTGGGTCGTGTCTGCCTTGGTCCAGCGGGTGTGGTGTGTGTGGAGCATCCTGTGGGGCAGCAGGTTGCCTTGGCATTGGCATGAGTGGGAGGGGTGGGCTGAGTATAGGGGAGCAGGACAGGGATGAGCACACAATCGCCCTTGTGAGGCCTTAGCCCTTAGGGGGCTACCAGGGCCTGAGGCCAACATAAGGCCTGGACACAATGCACCCTAGCAGGCGTACCCTCCCTTTCCCCCTGAACTGTCAGCTCGTGAGGGTCGGAACTGCTGATTATGGAGGTGCTTCGGATCAGGTGAGCTAGATGTGGTTGGTGAGAATGGCATTCTTGATGTTTGTTTTGGTAATGAGGGCAGGTGCTGCTGTTGGGGCCTGGGGTTTCACACAGGTCCCTAGAGGCCCTCACATGGAAGCCTGCCCTCACTCCACTTTGGAGCCTTCTGCAGGGTGGGCCTAGCATCCAGATTGGAAGGGCCAGAGGGCTTCTACTTCACATGGCCAAGGAACCTGTGAAGGTGGGACTGACAGAGTTGAGCCTGTAAACCTGCTACATCAGGCAGTGGCATCACTAGGGGGTGCAGACCATACCAGGTGACAGTGCCAGAGAAGTGACACCAGAATGACTGACTGTAGAGTTTCTGTGCAGTGTTGCGGCAGAAATTCACTGTTTTTATAAAAATATCCCTGTAGTTACGTATAATAACAAAAACATTTTTCATAATACCAGCTTTCATGCATCAGTATACCTGCAAGGCTAAAACTCTGCTAATTTTCTTTTGAACCTTCTGATGTGCACTGGTCAGAGCTATCATTATTGCCCAGTTACAGTGATGCTTCAATCATGTGGTCCTGCAGGTGCTTCGACCACACACTGCTTTCCTTGCTGCTGTGTTGTTATGGTTAATGATTTTGTGAAATTTTCTGGTGTTTTAGCTACAGTATTGTGGTAATTAGTATTTAGGAGTTGATCATTCATTTTTTTGAGAATGAAGTAGTTAAAAGGAGAAAAATCAAAATATTTTGCTCAGTTACTAATAATGTGATTCATTGTGGAAGGATTTTACAAAACAATTTTGTTGGTCGTATTCACATAATCTTAAGGCTATTATATTTAAGCAATTTACAGCTATTTATTACATATTATTCTGTGATTAAAATCGATAAAGGACATAATTACTAAGAATTCTGTACGGTCTGGTACAGAAGGAAGTCCATGGGGGGTGGTGACACCATGAGTTACTGCACTGGATGACACCAACCCTAGTGACACTACTGGCATCAGGGCTCTGCTGTGGGGTTCCTCCTGCCCAGTGCAGGGCAGATGCTTGTATGTGTGTGGACTTTGAGCCCCAAAGGATTTTAAGAATCTGGTTCCTTGTTTAATCAAGGGATGTTGCTGCTGAATTAGGGTGACTAATTCCACCTGGCTAAGTATTTTCTTGCTGCCTTCCTGTATACTGATTAATAACATGACCAATGTAATTTTTAATGCTGTTAGACTTCTCCAGTAGGATTAACCCAGAGTGGTGGACCCAGTCCTGGGCCTAGGTGGGGAAGGATTTTTCCAGGACAGTTTTGAGAAGTGTGCTCCCAGGGCAAGAGCAGGGGAGAGTGCATGAAGTGGTGAGTGGAGAGGTGGGGCTGCATGAGGCAGCATATCAGGTAGGGAGGGGCGGCTGACCATGGCCTCCTGGGTGCCTGATTCTGATGGGAGTTGATAGGGCAGTGCCTATAGTGACTTAGGAGGAGCATGATGACGTATGAGGCTCCTCAAGAGTTCTGTACTTGTCTCTTTTTTGGACAATCTCAAAAAACTGTGGAAGTGGGAGGGGAAAGGGCTAACGTTTCTTGGAGGCCTAGTAGGTACCAGGCAGGCACTGTGCTGTGTGCTTCACCTTATATGAGCCCATGTAATCCACATAGGGCCCTTTGGGGGTTGTTGCTGTTCCATTTTACAGGTGAAGAAACTGAGGCTCAGGGGGTAAAGTAACTTTTTCAGAAGTGTTATCTGGTTAGTGGAAGAGCCATTGTCAGTCAGAATAAGTGAATCTGGCAAGCTCCAGACCGAGTTCTTCCCGTTGTACCAGTAGTGGGATACCCAGAGTTGGGAAGGGAAGAGCAGTGTTAATTGGCTGCCAACTGTGTGCTGGCCTCCTGCGGAGATGATCTCCTTTAACAGTGTGTCTGTGTAGACATATTTAGCTTGGACAAGAATGTGAGCCCTTTGAGGACAGGGATTTTTGTCTTGTGTTTTCTGTGGCTATATCCCCAGGGCCTAGAACAGAGCCTGGTCCTGAAGCAAGTGGCTTACAGTGCTCTCTTTTGGATTGTATCTGTGTCTATGAACCTGGCTTCTTGGATTTCACACTAATTCTTAGTAACTTGTTCTGAGTATTCCCTGTTGTCGTTGTTATGTGCTGTCGAGTCGGATCCAACTCATAGCGACCCCTCCTTGGGTTTCTGAGGGAGTATCACTACAGAAGTAGATTGCCTGACCTTCCTTCTGAGGAGTGGCTGGTGGGTTTGAACCACCAGCCTTCTGGTTAGCAGTCAGGTGCCTTAGGCACTATGCTACCAGAGCTCCTGAGTATTCCCTGGGCTTATGAATAATTGTTTGCTGATTATTGTCCAGTTTATCCCTTATTTAAATACCCTAATAAACCAATATAGACATTGGGGTAAGATGGAAGTGATGGTGTGGGGTTGCATCATAGATAAATGAGTTAAGACCAAAGTAGTTTTATTTTACTAGGTTTGACAGTAAAGAAAATAGCTAGATCTCAGTTATCCATGGGGAGGGGGTAACCTAAAATGAGTTTGACTTTGTAATGAATTCCATGATTTTTGTTGTCATCAATTTCTCCTTCCCAGTTAATGTTGCATGTTAGTTGTTGTTATGTGCTGTTGAGTCGGACCCAACTCATAGCGACCCCTCCTTGGGTTTCCGAGGCAGTATCACTACGGAAGTAGGTTTGCCCCATCTTCCTTCCGAGGAGTGGCTGGTGCGTTTGAACCGCCAGCCTTCTGGTTAGCAGTCAGGTGCCTTAGCCACTATGCTACCAGAGCTCCTTAATGTTGCATAGGCAAATGGAATTTATTTGCATTCCCTTAGCACTTCTCACACAAGTTAGAATTATGATTCTGATGCTAGTTGGTAGGGCTGTCACAGCAGCCCCCTCTTGAATTGACAGTCCAGCTCACAGGTGATTTTGCCTTACAGGAGTTGATAGGAGAAGCTTGTCATGTTGTTAGAAGGTGAAACAATATAGTCCACACTAATGTGTCTTGGCTTGTTTCCTAGTGTGGATGAGATACATAGTTCAACTCAGACCCAACATGTATTTACAGCCCTATTAATTTAAACCCAGCTGGTTTCTTTTTAAAAGGATCCCTGGTGGCGCATTGGTTAAGCATTTGGCTGCTAACTGAAAGGTCGTTCAAAACCCACCCGAAGCTCTGTGGGAAATGTGGCAGTCTGCTTCCATAAAGATTACACAGCTTGGAAACCCTATGGGGCAGTTCTTCCCTGCCCTGTAGGGTCAGTATGAGTCAGAATTGACCTAACAGCAATGGGTTTGGGGACTGTTTTTGCTTTTTGGCCTCTTTTTGGTGGAAGTTTGAAACAGGAAGCCAGTAGTTGACAGTTTGAGATTAAGGAGATTACACTTCTGGAAGCAGATACTCCTATTTATAACTCGGAAGTCTTATACATTCCATGGGAGAGGGAGAGGACAGATGACTGACACCACAGGGAGATAGGAGGCTGGGCAGGTATATAGGCCTTTCAGAAACCTGTTTCCCAGCTAGGAAGTGCTTCTGCTTGGCAAATAGAGGGGCATATTAGGGGGTATCTGAAGCGACAGGATAACATTAACACAGTAAATACTAAATGCCTTCTCTGGACTTTATGTGCTGAGGATGCAATAGGGTGAACAAGACATGCAAGGATCTGTGTCCCCTATAGTAGTGGGGAGTGGACTAGACATCATTCTTACCTAAAATTTAAGGGGGAAATCCTTGTTTAATATAAATGTAAGCATGCACATATTTGCATGAGGTATG